ATTAAATCTGTGTGTAGTGCATTCTTTATTGTATGCTTTATGATTGGTATTATATTGCATTTTATGTTTTTCCTCAGCATTTATACAACTGCGATATTAATGGATTTCACGTTTACATTCATTTATTATATGAATACCTCTACAATATAATATACATATTTACATGTTAGCAGGTAAACAAATTTTTGTGTGATTACTAATTGTAATATTGTAGAGAACATCGGTAGTCAAGAGCGGGGAGTGTGGGGATCGAATGCGGTAGTAGCGGACCGTCGTCTGTACTTCCCCAGGCAGAACGATTTGAGTCGCCTTGAGTATCTAGTGTGATCAGTTGTTGTTGCTGTTGGCTGATTCTCACGCATTGTGTTCTATCGGTAATCACTTGGTAACTAAATAATTGTTTGACTTAATAATTAATAAAATCTAACATGCACGTATCACAGAACTTTTACATCGATCCTCTTTATAATTATTTCTTGCATCTCCGGATATACAGGTCTCTATAGACGGGACAACGCCATCTAATAAACATTTTTTTTATCGTTGTAGCCATTGTGTAGGTTACTTTTTCTAAACAGGGCTTTTTAGTTCTCTCTAGGTTATCTATCTTTCATTGTAGCATTTTAATAATCAATTTTTGATCACTGATAATGGTTTCTTTATCTTTCACTATCTCCCCAGATCAAATATCAGCGACTATTTCTCTAGAGAAATAGTCAATATTCGGTCTACTGAAATAGTCGTCCCCAATATAACATGACCTTGATTAATATTCTGCTAAATTTCTCGAACATTTTACAATTTGATTTTGGCATTAATAATCAATTAATTAATAATGCCAAAAATTATGTCTCATCAAATTGATATTAAAATATTCTCGAGATTTAGATTCAACAAAAATAGCCGACTATTATCAAGGTTTTGGTATATTACTCTTGACTACATCCTTGTAAATGTCTAGAGTTTCACCTTTTCTACATTTTAAACAATTAAATTTCAGTGTTCTTTTTTTGCAAGGGAATGCATCTTAACTCTGATGTCAGAACTCTTACCACAAGTATATATTCTACAGTTATCGCAAGGAAATACGGATTTTTTGAAATCTTTCGGATAACTTTTAAATTTGCACTTTATAAATTCTATTTTCATTATATTTTTAATGAAAAATTACGCATGATCCCTTAAAATGGCACTGCACTGGAATTAGTTGGATTATCTATTTCAAGTAAATTCTCTTATCAGTTTTTTTTTTAAAGAAAGTTGTTTACCTGTATTAAACTTGCATTTTCACAAACATAGAGCACTTTTACTAGTTAATTTTTATACAGGGTGTCCCATTAGTGCGTAATTTTTCAATATTTTAATTTGTGTTAAAGACACGCAAACAAGTTTTAAATAAATGTTATATGATTTAAAAAAAAAAACACATATTTTAAAAATACTTTTGGATATACAGGGCGTTGCGTTTTCACTTGTCAAAAAAATGTATATATTTTAAATTGAATACCCTGTGTTTTACTTCAGTTTTAGAATGGTTTGGTAGTACTGTATTTAACCCTGGAATTTTTCTTTAAAATATTACATAAATTAGTATAATTTCCTGACCGTAGCCGAATTTTATATAAATAAAAATTTCCTAGGTTTATTCAGTCGTTTTTATTTTATATCCTTTAGCACAGCACTACATATGTTTCTATCAAAATGTGAGATTACGATTTTCTCAATTTTTTAAATGGAATACCCTGTATGTTATATCTCCAATTTTTTTAACACCATTTAAAAAATTGAGAAAATCGTAACCCTACGTTTTGGCATACTCTATATACAACTTCGCAAATAATAATTGAAGTCCAATAAAATTAAAATAAAATAAATTAAACTCAAATCCAGTATCACATACAGACACACAGACACACAGACACACAGACACACAGACACACAGACACACAGACACACAGACACACAGACACACAGACACACAGACACACAGACACACTGACACACAGACACACAGACACACAGACACACAGACACACAGACACACAGACACACAGACACACAGACACACAGACACACAGACACACAGACACACAGACACACAGACACACAGACACACAGACACACAGACACACAGACACACAGACACACAGACACACAGACAGACACAGACACAGACACACAGACACACAGACACACAGACACACAGACACACAGACACACAGACACACAGACACACAGACACACAGACACACAGACACACAGACACACAGACACACAGACACACAGACACACAGACACACAGACACACAGACACACAGACACACAGACACACAGACACACAGACACAAAGACACACAGACACACAGACACACAGACACACAGACACACAGACACACAGACACACAGACACACAGATACACAGACACACAGACACACAGACGTGTGCGTGTGCGTGTGCGTGTGCGTGTGCGTGTGCGTGTGCGTGTGCGTGTGCGTGTGCGTGTGCGTGTGCGTGTGCGTGTGCGTGTGCGTGTGCGTGTGCGTGTGCGTGTGCGTGTGCGTGTGCGTGTGCATGTGCGTGTGCGTATGTGTGTGTGTGTATGTGTGCGTGCGTGTGCGTGTGCGTGTGCATGTGCATGTGCGTGTGCTTGTGCGTGTGCGTGTGCGTGTGCGTGTGCGTGTGCGTGTGCGTGTGCGTGTGCGTGTGCGTGTGCGTGTGCGTGTGCGTGTGCGTGTGCGTGTGCGTGTGCGTGTGCGTGTGCGTGTGCGTGTGCGTGTGCCTGTGCGTGTGCGTGTGCGTGTGCGTGTGCGTGTGCGTGTGCGTGTACGTGTGCGTGTGCGTGTGCGTGGGCGTGTGCGTGTGCATGTGCGTGTGCGTGTACATGTGCGTGTGCGTGTACATATGCCTGTGCGTGTGCATGTGCGTGTGCGTATGTGTGTGTGTGTGCGTGCGTGTGCGTGTGCGTGTTCATGTGCGTGTGCGTGTGCGTGTGCGTGTGCGTGTGCGTGTGCGTGTGCGTGCGTGTGCGTGTGCGTGTGCGTGTGCGTGTGCGTGTGCGTGTGCGTGTGCGTGTGCGTGTGCGTGTGCGTGTGCGTGTGCGTGTGCGTGTGCGTGGTAGCGATATCGATCTCTATAATTTTTGTTTATACATGATTTTTCTAAAATGGATAATGAAAAAAATGGAGGAAAAGTGCTAAATTTAAATTTTTCAGTATTTTCGTTTTCAATGAATATAGAAAAATGTTTCGAGGTAGATGTATGTGGAAAATGTATATATTTAGTTTATCCTCTAAACATTTTTAGAGGTGCTGCAATAGGTTGTTCAAAATAACCGGGAAAAGCCTATAATAACTAGATAAGAAAGTAATGTGTTGGACACATCAGATTTTTTTTAAACATTACTTAACAATGTACAAGCTCACATAGGTACTTTGTAGATTAAAACGCTACAGCATGTAAAATAGAAAGAGCATCAACATTGTATTTTTACAATTTAATATTGTACACCAAAATATCATTGAGTATGTAAAGTAAGTTTTGAACTGAATACAACGCACGAGTTATCTAACATAAAGGCTCTTAGAAATAAATCTTATTTTTTATTGTTGTTATATTAATTATAGTTATTAGGTAAAATAAAAACAAATATAATAAGCAGCCTAATTAATTTTAAAAAAGTAAACTGTAGGTTAGTAGTATATTTATATTAAATCCATCTTAATCTTAGGCTTTTTTTAATTTGAAATATATAATTATTACTTCTTAGTAATATAAAACAATTATAATATCCGGGTATATCATAATGCAGTCAAGGTTCTTATCCGCCACGTGTATCCCTTACTAGAGGGCTTGTACGTGTTGGGTACACGGCCACGTATGCCCTCTAAATGACCGGGTCCAATGGTCCGAGACCAAGGTAATGGACAAACATAATATTGCAATCATAAATATTATTACCCCATTTACATTAGAACAAATATAAAACCAATTGTAACACATACAAAGTGGGCCATCTTAAACTCGTCGGTCCAGACTATGAATTGATTTTTTTTTATTACTTTTGTTCTGGAAGATGAATGTCTTAAAATTATAAATAACCAAATAACTAAATAATATATCTACTTATCTGAAATTTATCCCAGACCCTTATTCGCCATCTCCTCATTTCACCACATTAACATTTCTTCCGCTGATGAAGTTGTTTGTTGAGAACTTATATTATTCTCTTGTATTAGATTAATTTTAAATAAGGAACACGAAAGACGGAATAATTTACCCTGCAACGAAAATTTATGCCGAATTAATAAAAAAAGATGAATTTATTCCAGGTAAAAAAATCTTCAGAGTCTATTCTACCTTATACCAATTGCCTTAAAGATTGTATTCACCAAATTTGAGTTAAACATTTATTTTTTAAGAAACATTAGAATGTGTTTTGACGTCCTGAATATTTGTAAAAATGTGAGATATCCCCTTTATGTAGTACACTTGGATGATTCTAAATCACATTATATTATCAATGGGTCTAGCATATCTCAACGTATTTTAGAACCTAGATGACTTCTGATGATCTTACAGAGTGTTATTTTCAGGAAAACACACACATTTATTTATTGAAACATGTAAACAAAATAAACATGAAGAAGATGCTTAAAGTATCCTATTTACTTGTAAATATTCTTTTATTAAATCTATCAAAAACTTCAAAATTAATTTTTCAAATCATTCCCTGGTTGAATTTGTTCAAAACTATTGCTAGGGTTGAATAAACCAACGTTTTCAAATTATCCCATACAAAATAATAAGAGGTTTTAGATGGGGTGAACGAGCTGGCACATTTTGTTGTGAAAAAAACGAGATCTAATCGTCTACGATTTTTATGGGTTAAGAAAAATGAAAAAGTATCTACAAAAAAATACGGATAAGAATATTACTCACCCCCTAACTTTTTCGGACTTTTCCTTGTTCTGCCTAATATTTTCAAAAAGGAAAAGACAAAAAAATTTAAGTATATTTATTTGTTGTAACTACAATTTTTGATGAATTTTCTTAATCGCATCTGATATTTTTTCAGCTATCATGTATATAGCGGCAATAAGATGTCCTCTAATAAATCTTAGGAATAATACCAGCATCAACGATTCTCAAATTTCGCATGTTATGCACCAAACCGTTTCTATCTACCACAGAATCAATTGGTGATGGACCCATCTTTGTTGTACTGGAGGGATGGTACTCCCGTTGAAGTCATGTGTCTTAGAGCGCAATACCAATATTCTCTATCACTGGAACTCAGATGTTTCACATCCTGGTTGTTCTCCAATATAATGTGCACCAATATGCTTGAAAGCAGCAGTTTGCTCCAAATTTAAAGCGTACTTTATTCCTTGATACATCGTTTCTAGATCTTCATTATTGGGATCTGTGAAGTAATTGATATTAATAGAAGGAAAGTCTAAAATGCTATTTGTCCTTAAAGTAACTGAACCTTCCGATTTCGGTTTCATTAAAGATATAATTATACTGAAATCGGTCGTCGTATTGTACTTTTCGTAGACTTTTCTAGACTTTCCCTGAAAGTTGTATGCAGCTTTTAAATCTATAGGTACACTAAACGGCGGAGGAAATGTAATCATTTTTATTTCAGCTTTGGGATTTTTCTCATTTTTAAAATTTAAAAAAACAATTTGTTCTAATCCGGCGCCGTTAGTCAAAGGAGTCATTCCATGGCTGTATCTCTCCAAGTTGTCCTGAAGAGTGTGATTAGGAGCAGAAACATTTGTTCTAAAATACATATTGACGAAAAGGGGATGATCTTGTAAATGTTTTCCAACTCCTGGTAAATTATTTTGAACTGGGATTCCTAATTTTTTCAAGTCATTTGCAGGACCTATTCCCGAAAGCAGCAAAAGCTGCGGTGTATTAATTGAACCTGCAGAGAGTATAACCTCCTTACTAGCTTCAGCTTTATAAAAAACTCCGTCTTTAACGAAAGTTACACCCTTAACTTTGTTTCCGTTCATCAACAGTTTATTAACAGCTGCATTAAGTATTAGCTTTAAATTTTTTCTTGTATTTCTTATAGGATTTAGAAAAGCATGTGCACTGTTTTGGTGCAGATGATCTTTTATGTTAAATTGTATCCTTGATACACCTAATTGTTGTTTTCCATTGTAATCGATCTCACTTAGACCTTTTTCTACGTTAGCATTTAAAAATGCTTCAGCTATTACTGATGGTGGAGATGTTTGGTTAACGTATAGTACACCAGATGTTCCGTGATAAGACCTATCATAATTTTTCAATGCTACAAACTCAGATTTTTTGAAATATGGTAAACATTCCTCATATGACCATCCTGGGTTGCCTAGGTTTACCCATTCATCATAATCCTCAGGACTTCCCCTCGCGTAAACTCCTCCGTTTAAAGTACTACTTCCTCCTATCACTTTTCCTCGTGGATATGCACATTGATTGTTTTCCATTCCTGAAAGATAAATATAAATATTAATAAAGAGAAACAAGAATATCTGAAAGAGATGTTACAAAATAATAGAAGCGACCCCAAGTAACACACTTGGTAATAAATCCTTTTGGTTTTGCTACGAAGCCTTATTTCCTGGGGTCCACCTTGATACTAATGGCCTTTTTTTATTAAGATGTTCAGTGCATTCTGAGTGTACTCTCACTTTCTTCTTTTCCATATCGACACAGATATACTCAGTGTGTACTGCCAGTGCCAATGGAAAACGTCAAAATATTGCTACTTTATTGAGAAAGGCTACTTTGTATGGTTCTTAAAAAGTAACTGTTACCACCCGATATCATTTAATGGAACAGTCAAACTGGCAAAAACTAGAACTAGTGAATCAGTTACTGCTACCCACCAGTACCTAAATAAAGTAACTGGGTACATAGATAGGCAAAAGGATCCAAGAATATAGTTACATAAACAATTGGGTAGTTACTGTAACTGGGCAGTATCATTTTATTGTTACTCTATAGTGGTAAAACTATATAGTACAAGTTAATCAGTTACCCACCAATATCACTAATCAGCCTACATAAAGTAAGTGGGTACATAGATAAAAATTACCAATAAGGTTATGTTAAGAGCGCGTTGAAATTTTATCAAAACCTTTCCATACTAATTCGCAGCACTATTTGTTTCCAAAAATTAACACAGGATCCGACTATCTTCTTTAATAATTTATCTATGGGTAGTATTATCGGGAGACGCGATCACTTGGTCAAAAACGGCATTAGTCCGCCATATTGAAGCGACTCACGTTAAATATGTGTCGATTCTTGTGATTTCATTAATGTGATTCGTATGATCAAGTTTTCGTGTTTTTATTTACTGTTTGTGTATTATTTAAATAATATAGTAAAATACAATAATAATTGTTTCATGTGCTCTTTGTAACTGCAACATGAATAACATTTCATAGGTTAGTATATAAAATAATAACAATAAACAGGGTAATATTTGAAAAATTTATTTTTATATTTTGCTTATTTAAATAGTCTCTTAGTTAACACATTTTATGGTAATTATTTCATATACTTACGGTGTTCTGTTATTTTATTATTGTTTAAATATTTCATTTTATGCTGTCCAAGTGTTTAATTTTGTCCATATAACAGAAAAATGGCAAGAACTGTATATGAAACTGTTAAATATTTTAACTAACCACTAAAGCCCAAATAACGAAAAAATGTTTTAATTTCAGATTTCCTAAGAGAGAAAACTTTAACAGTAAATTGAATGAATTATTTGCCAGACAATTTGTCAGAATTTTCCAAATTTATAATTGCCTACATAGCGGGAAATATTGTTCAATTTTTAAAGAAAAAAATATTTTGTTTTGATTATATATCTGTTTTGATAAGTAACACGAGGGATTTGTATCTTTTCTCTTTTATAGATCTGTATCTGCAACGTGTGGACGGTGAGTTAACCCACGGCACTTAAAGCTTACTAGGCCATTTGTGCATCCTCCTAAGTAAATAGGCACCTTCTAGCATTTGATAACCACTAATAAATTATCTTATTTTCTGTTAATACCAATAATTAAACGAAGGTTGCTAGAAAACTATTACCCTAAAGCTGCTGTAATTAGTCATTTGTTTAACAGCCAATAATGTATTATTAAAAAACTTTAATATCCATAAGTATTTTTTTTTGAAAGAGTAAAACCAAATTTGGTAGATTTTCACACTTTTATTTTAAAAATAAAAATTTTTAAACAAACACTAACATGACATATGTTTCGAAGTACAACTTCTTTTTCAAATGTGACTATTTACAATTCGGTATCCAATATATATACGAAATAATTTAACAAAACAAAGTACTTAAGAAAACATCAATAACATTACAAAATAAACTAACTATTTAAAGTAAATAAGGGTACTTAGGTAATTATAATATCCATCAAATAACAATAAGATATCTGAATTCAGATAACTTACTAAATGATCAATTAGATATTAATAATTCACCCTTATTAAACCTCTTTCCCAGTTTTCTGTGAGATAATCCCGGTAATGGGCTATCTTATTGTTATTTGATGGATATTATAATTACCTAAGTACCCTTATTTACTTTAAATAGTTAGTTTATTTTGTAATGTTATTGATGTTTTCTTAAGTACTTTGTTTTGTTAAATTATTTCGTATATATATTGGATACCGAATTGTAAATAGTCACATTTGAAAAAGAAGTTGTACTTCGAAACATATGTCATGTTAGTGTTTGTTTAAAAATTTTTATTTTTAAAATAAAAGTGTGAAAATCTACCAAATTTGGTTTTACTCTTTCAAAATTAAATGGATTTTCATCAAGTAAAAGCCGAAACAATAAATAATCCATAAGTATTGTTAATTCTATTAAATTTGTTTAATAATATTCATTAAACTCTTTAATACGTTCTAGTAATTGTTTAATAACCCTTAGTAAATATTAACGGTTTTATCCCTTCCACCCGTCTAGGACTCGAGGAAACTAGTATTCGTGCGTGGTCGAAGATCCACGATCACGATGACCACGCCATACGCCACTAACGTAACTACTTTCATTTTCTTTTGATTTGTGTTAATAAAAAGGTGTCTTAATTGTTGCATGGTTGGATTGTGATACCTGAGCCGGTTGTGTGTTCGTAGTGCAGTGTGTTTTATGTACATTTTACTAGGCGCAGAATGAATTAGGATAAACAATTTAATTACACATTTTGTGGTTAGTAATGTAAGAAACAATCGCCCATGAATTGACAACTTACTATTTTGCACACCCTTTAGGTCCATTCCATATGTTTTGTTTTTATTTATTTTTTTTTAAATTCTCTAGTAACGCATAATTAATTGTTCAACAGTATTTACATTTTTTAATTTTTCTCACCTGTCCTATATATTGTTATTTTTAAAACATGATGCAGAAAATAAGTTATTTAGATAAACTTGTTTTGTGTTTTCTAAGGTTCTTGCAAATGTCTCTAATATGAAATATATCTGTATGCAAACTTTTAGTAGTACCCCAGTTTTAAAGTTTATTATATAAAGCTTTATTATGTGTATGTGTTAAAGCCACTTTTTCAAAATGTTATCAGTTTATTTTCTAAGCAAAAAAAAATGGTAAACAATCGTTGAAAAAAAAGTTTTTGTGATGTTTTTTCCATAAAAACTAAATAAAATGGGGGTTTGGTCGATCTCTATAAACCTATTTAATAACCACAATTAAAGGATTTAATAGGGAGTATTAAAACTTGCAAATGCCCATTATTAATCAATTTAATAACAGTTATTAATTTATTAACTAAACGCTATTAGGCTGTTCAATATCTATCATTACGCTGTTTAATAATGACTATTAAATTATTTAGTTTTTCTATTAAACTGTATAATACCTGTTATTAAATTATTTACTAACGTTAAGCAAAGTTTTTTATTAGTTGCTTGTGACAGCAACACTGATCCAAGAACAAAAGTTTAATAACTGCTATTAATCAGTTTATCTGTCTCATATAGTATTAAAAAAATTAATACCGACTATTAAATGTTTAATACCCACTAGCAAAGTTTTTTCTCGGTGTACAGATTTAATGCCGTTGACAACGTCGCCAAGAGGTGCTTCTTTTATATCGGCCGGTGTTATCCTATTCTCGCCGAACACAAATCTTCTAATAAATAAAAGCGTCAGGAACTCATATAGGATATGCTCGATGGTCTTATCTTCTTGTTTGCACCTCCTTCAGAGTGCGGATTCTGACAGCTCTATGATATGGAATGGCTTCCGTACTGAGCAATGACCAGTTAGAATGCCTGTGATCAGGCGCAGATTCTGTCTAATTATAGTCAAGTATTTGTTTGATGTAGTGTTGTCAGGATAACTTAAAAGCTCCCTGGCAAGTCTGCAGCTTCTTGTTTTATCCCATCATTCATTGAATTTCACAAGGAAATGTTTGTTAATTAGTTTTGTCACTAGCGATTTGTCAGTCCGATAGAAGGGTCCGAAGATATTTGGTTGGCTACTTTCTTGGCTAGTGAACCAGCAAAACGATTACCTTTCGATGTGGTGTAAGCTTTGATCCATCTTAAGTTGACCACAAATTTGATCGATACTTTAGCCAACGCTTCGTACCATTCTAGTACTAACCCTGAGTAAATTCGTGGCCTGTCTAGGGTGAGTAGTCTCGTCTTCTATCTGTATAGATGAACATGTTCCTTCCAGTGATATTGATTTTAGTGATTTATTTAAAGATCTGGAATATATTCCACATCTCGAGCCTTGTTTTGTTTTAGAACTGTTGATTTAGAAGCTGCCACTTTCGACTCTTCTATGTGTTGTTCTGTTATAATTTTAGGCAGTAAGAGCGTATCAAGATCCTACATCATTTCCTATTTCAATCATGCGGAGGCCTGTCATTGTCATCAGAACAACCTCTCTGATGTGGGCGTGAGACTAAGAATAACCTCCATTTCTCTAGTATATGCTTTTCATGGCGCCTGCTATGTTAAGACATGCTGTTCTTTAAATTTGTTTTAGTTTGCGGATAGTTGTCAATTGTTTTCGGTACCCAGACAACCGCACCGTATGTAAGAATAGGTCTTATGATGGCCGTGTAAGTCCATGCGATGACTCTGGTAGAGAGACCCCAGGTGCGCCCCATGTTTCGACGGCATTCTTCTTAAGCAATGTATACTTTTTTACTCAGTTTTGACTATTTTATAGATAAAAATAAAATATACTACAATAGCCCTTACCAGATATTATGAAGATATGTATTCAAAGCGAAAAAATTTGAAAAAAACACTGTTATTTTCAAATCATTTAAGCAAATGTCAGCCGTATGTGGAGTTAATATAATCCTTACATAATTTGCAAAAAGAAATATTTTTTTCAAATTTACCTATTAGTACACCGTTATGATCAATCAGCATTGAATAACCATCGGGTATTATTAATAGAAGCTGAGGCAGATAAATACG